TTTTTTAAAATAATTTTCAGTTTTTTTTTTTTTTTTTTTTTTTTTTTTTTTGTTTTAAATAAGTCATCAGTTCCTGGGAATTAAATTCCAGTGTTTACTTGGATTGTAATGAGTTTCATATTCACCATCATTGATTAATTTTGAATTTTATTTTTATTATTATTAATAACCAAGAATCCTTTTAAGTTTACGCTGTTAAATTGCTTTTTGATAAGCATAAATTAATGCCCCAAGCCCTCATAACTAAAACTAGCTTCTCATCTTTATGAAGGTGGGTTTCAAATATAGGAATATACTTTCATTCACCTTTAACCAACACCAACATGGTTCTGAAACTCAATTCCAATCCTTCCACACACTTGTGTTGAACCCAAGCAATCCTATGGATTGAGGACAGTTAAGAAACCTAATAAATTTAACCTATCATTTAAGCATTCATCCATACAGTTACCAAAATTTAACAGGACGAACGCAGAAAGCTTAGAAATGAAGTCAAGCACGGGTAGATATAATGAATATAGAAAATTGATTATGGAAGTACTGAGACAATATAAATAATTTTTAGGGGCAGTTACAAATATACCACCCCACTCTTAAGTATTTACATATCTAACACCTAAACTTTACATTTTTATATTTATACCACCCAAATATTTCATGTCACATAAAAATACCACTATTTTAAGTTTTAAAAAGTGAAATACACATCTTCATGCATAGTTAAGGTGGCATATAAGCACAAATTGAAATTTAGGTGTTAGATATTGAAATACATAGAAATTAAGTGGTATGCATGTAAATCTTCCTAATTTTTAAAAAAAATGATGGAGATATGATAGTAGCTAATAAATTTTGCCAGGAATGTAAGGAGTGATGCCCTAGTAAAATGAAAAATGACCCTCAAAAAAAAAAAAGAACGAAACATTCACTTTAAATGAAATGACAGAAAGTGATATCAATTACAGATAATTGTTGGGAAAAGAAAATCCGAAGTGATACAATCACTTTTCAAAGAAGCTTTTAGTAAAAATTTTACTATTACAACAACCAAAAAAGTTAGTAACATTAAATCAAACACTGAATGCGACCATGCAGTTACTCTGAACAATCATCAAATTGAGGAATTCAGTAGCATTTAATATTGAAGCCTGTAATTTTTACGCGCATTTCACATACATAGAGCACGGTTCTGATGTGTTTACATATCTCGCATCTAAACTTTCATATTTATACACATAGCACTCAAATCTTTAATATCATATTAAAAATTGCACTATTATCACTTTTTTCAAAGTGAGATACATTTTTTCATGCATAGGTTTAAAGCACGAATCTGCTATGTATGTAAATATGAAAGTTTAGACATGAGATATGTAAATACATAAAAATTGTGTGCTAGGTACTTCCTGATTTTTATTGCCGCATAAATGCTAGATTAAACTAGTTTTAAACAACAAAATTGCATCATAATACAAAGTAAAACAGAAGGCAAGATAGCTCATACCTGACCCGCATTCCTTGAATCTGGATCTATCTCAAGACATCTCTCATATGCTTCTATAGCTAGGTTAATAGTGCCTGCATCTCTATACAGAACCCCTGAAAGACCACCAATAAATCAGAGAGAAACGTGCGCAAAAGGAACATAATATATTCATTTAGAAAAAGGACAGCATGCACAGAAAAAGAAACCTGACAGTAAAATGAAAGACTGAAGTAGGTCCTAACTCCCTATAACAATAACGAAGCTCTAATTGCACTAGAGTTAATACACTTATCAGGTCTCCGCTTTATTAATCTTCAATATTTCGTTCACTCTTGAATATCGTCTGAAGTGTTAACTACACTTGCCCAAAAGTTTTCAACTTTAATCCATGTTACTTCGGTCTAATACATTTTATTCTCAACTTTTTCACAACAAATTTATCTTGCATCATTTACAAAAAGCCCAAATGACCCGAAACATATTTTTCACCACCTTAACTTCAATACCATCCATTTAATATACAAATTACTCAATATTTTTTATTAATTTTGTCCAATAGATAAGCTTTTTTATTGATAAAAAACATGTACATTATAATCATTCTAGTATTCAGCATGATCATCATTTGCCTTATTCCAACTATTTGAAACCAGTTTTATCAATCCACGTCTTCATTCGTTCATGCTGAGCACAAAAAGTTGTTAAACAAGTTCTGTCCAAATCGTTTATAATTCTATCCAAATAAAATTTGATCAATTCTGAATTCTTTCTAATCAAGTATAAATCTTTCCATCTCATTATCTCATCTTTTCTACCGTTTGTTGTAAATTCCCAAAACACCTAAGTCAATTTTTCACTATCATATTTTCTAAAGATATTACAACCACCAACCAACAAATATAATCTTTTCTCAATCAACCTTGCCAAGCTCTTCCAAACATTCATCTAAGCATTCTTAGTTTTAGCAAATCCCAACTTTGTCTAATTGACTTATTTCCAAGCATAAAAGCTGGCGTACCAATATATCAATACATTTTATCTTGCAAGTCACCAAGATATTCTTTCATTGCATAATATTAGTAAATGCTTCTCCATTTTAAAATATATAATATGACTATTACAAGTTCTACAAATAAATAAGGTAAAATTTAAATAGATCTACGGATAAAATGACTAGCAACTTCAAGAATTGTCAGATGGAATGAAAATCAAAGAAAGATTTGAAATTTTATCATCATTAATTACATAAAGTTGCACAAATCATGTTTAAATGAACAAAATGTTCAATACGGGAATGGCATCTCTTGAACCACGCTCATTTGTGTCAAGAATTCGAACAGCATAAAATAGTGCACTAAAAAAAGAGGCTTTTGACTTGAGAAATATACTATGCTCAAATTTAGAGAAACACCAAGTCATAAAATTAGAAAGATCCAATCAATCTCTGAAGAAAAACTCAAACAAAAGTGCAATTATCAAGCATAATGTAGCCAGTGCAACAAACTTTTCAGATCCTCTCTTGCTGTTCATTTCAATTAGGAGCTGTATCCCCTTCTTGTTATTCATTAAAGTTGAAGATTACATTGAATACAGGTTCCAATTTTCATTAAAAAATCATTGAAATCCCTGCATTCAATGTTATGATACTAAATGGGTAAAAAGAAGCAAAGTTTCCACAACTCTGCTCACTACCAAACCCACTCCATCAAGCCCTAGCAACACAGCATTAAAAAAATAAAGATGCCACATGCAGTAATCAGAATGGAAAGCACTATGATGTGTGTCCTTCCCTTCACATCCTTATAAATTGAGGGGCATTTGTTCAACATTATGAAACTCCAACAAAATGGACCTTTTATCATTTGGTATAAAGACCCAAGGTCTTGTAAAGATTTTTCCCATAGGGAAACTTTCTGAATTAATAAAATTTCAACAACAACAAGGCATTATCCCTCTAAGTAGAGTCGACTACATGAATCCTTTTTCTCTATTGCGTCCTATTGAGTGGCATATTTTCATTTAATTCTAATAAATTAAGATCATTTTTTATACAATATGCCCAAATCTTTTTGGTCTATCTCTGCCTTTCTTAACATAAGTTGAATCTAAAACATCTACACTCCTAACTGGATCATCAGATGGTCGCCATTTAATGACCAAACCATCTAAGACGACTCTCTCTAATATTGTCTATCACTGGAGTTACACCAACGCTGTCACAGATGTAGTCATTTTGCATTGTCTCTAAGGGTCAAGCCACTCATCCACCTAAGCATTCTCATCTCAGCAACACATAACTTTGTTTTATGCTTCTCTTTTAAAGGCCAACATTCTGCGCTATTGAGCATTACAAGTCTCACCACCATCTTATAAAATTTTCCTTTTAGTCTAAGAGGTGTTTTTCTATCACACAATAAGCCCGATGCATTCCTCCACTTCAACCAACCAACTTGAATTCTACTAATAACATCCCCATCAATATCACCATCACTTTGAACAATAGACACGATATATCTAAAGCGTTCACACATTTTAATGATTTGATCGCCCATAGTTACAACTCTACAACTAGAGCTACTACTACTACTAAATTATTTTCCATGTATTCAGCTTTAGATCTACAAAGAAAATTGTGTTTAAAATTATATGCTCACTTTCATATATAATCCTCCTTAGTTCCTCCACATCTTACATAAATTTAATCCCTTACCTTCAGCCAATAAATGAAAACTTGAGGAGGGAAGTAAAGGAACTGAGGTATTTGATTGTTTGGCCGATTATGCAAGTGAGAAAATCACTTTAATCAGAGAAGTCTATTTAAGAATTATGGTATTTTCTCTGGTCATTGAAATTCATGCTCATAATGCTAAAACATGTCACAAATTAACGAACCATGTTCAAAGTGCAAACAACACAAAGTAGACAACAACCTTAATCTGAAATTTTAAGGAAGTGTGTGATGCCGCACAATATTTAACAATACAAAAACCTTAGTTTTTATGTCAAAACACCAGAAATATTCATGAACAATATTCCCTGAACTGTAATAGAAAAAATCATAGCCAAATATCTTGAAAATATAAATGGACACTTCAAAAAAATTTATCAAGATGAAGATTATGTTTGAATACTAATTTAATTCCATGCCGAAAAAATAAAGAACAAGTAATAGAAAGCAGCAAAATAGCAAAGAACCAATGTCTACCCAAGTTATTATATGCCTCAGCATATGTAGGATTTGCCGCAATAGCCTTCTCAATCATGCCTGCTGCAGCATCAATTTTACCCTACAAATTATTAGTTTATGAGAAAAGGACAAAAAAAAATTACACAAATAAATATTAAGATATATGAACAAACCTGAACAGTATAAACAACCCCAAGATTATTTAGTGACTGTGAAAAGTTGGGTTTGATAGACAACGCCATCTGAAATGCAATTTGAAGGCAGCAAAGATGGTAAGAAAAAACAGCAGCACTTTAGAAATAATGGTGCAATACAATACAGAGGCCATTACATACATATAGCACTCAAAACATTGCTATTTACAATATTAGAACACCCTTCCATTCAGTTTTCAAAATTTCACTCAAATATCAAAATTCATGATTAAATCCTTAACAATATTTTTTATTTTTTATCAAAATTCCAATGGCTTGATCATGGCATGCATAACAGTCTGATAGTTCAAAAAATCACCAGGATGCTAGTTTTGTAAATAGCAATGCTTCATGTGCACGTATCCAAATATCTCCACAATAAATTATTCTGCTTGAAGAACTTTTAAGGAAATGAACAAACCTGATAACACTCCACAGCTTTATCAAGATTATCCCTATCTTTGTATATCACTCCCAAATTGTTACATGCCTCCGCACAATGAGGGTTGAAGTGCAATGCAAGTTCATAAAATACAATTGCCTGACATCAAACATTTGACTAACATTATTAAGTTTCAAAATGAAATGAAAAGACAATTCAGGTAACAAGAAAATTTTAAAAAAATAAAGTACCAAAATAGTCATTTGACTATTTACATGTGGCCATTTCAATCCCATAGTCCATAAATGAGTTAAATTAATCCTCAGAATTTTTAAATTAGGATTGAAATAGTCCTATGTGGTACTACTACAAACTTTCTGATTAAAATGAACGTTGCAAAAAGTCGGAGGATTATTTTGCACTTTTCTCATAGAAAAGTTATTAATCCAAACAATGATATTAGCTAAAATTTCACAATTAGGTAAAAGAATGAGAAGTAAAAAAATGAGAATTCAAATATAATTAACCATGTCAAATTTCAGCATTTCTCCATATGCTACACCGAGATTATACATTGCATCTGCATAGCGCCAATTGTAGCACAAAGCTTTCTTGTATAATTCCACACCTTGGGATATATCCCCCTCAAGTTTAACCTAAACAAGAAAAAAAGAAAAAAAACAGCATATGCCAATCAGTTGACCTCAATGAAATCAACGAGTAGGGCTTTGAAGTTGGAAAAGAAAGATAGTGGAAAAACATTGATTCAATAAAAGATATAGAAACAATCAATTTAAAGCGATGATTCAGAGTATTAGCTAAGAAAGAAATCCACAGCATTCGTGGGAAGGAACATTTTTCACAAGAAAATATAATTTTTTGGTAAAATCCAAATAACTCGAAACATATTCATTAGGGGCATTTACATAGCACACAATCCTTATGTATTTACATCTCACACCCAAACTTTCATATTTACACATAGTACTCAAATCTTTAATATCACATAAGAAATAGCAGTATTACCTCTTGTTAAAAGTGAAATACGCCTTCTTATGCATAGGTTTAAAGCACCAAAGTGCTATGTATGCAAATATGGCAGTCCAGGTGTGAGATATGTAAATACATAAAAATGTATGTATGTAAATTTCTCTATTTATTAATCGGTTAGTAAGGGTAATCGCATGTAACTTGCCAAGAACCTGAGGTGTTGCGTCTGATAAAAAGAACGTAAGCTGGAATATAATTTAGAGTGAGTAAAGTTAATGAATAAAGAAGGATAGGTGTAAAAATCACTGAATTGATATTAAAGCAGCAAAACATTTTACATCATTAGCAATCTAAAATAGAATAAGTATAGTGGAAGATGAACGATATGAGTGAAAATCACTGATCTGCTCCCATATAAAACACCTTTTGGTTGAGACCCTAGTTGACACGGAACCGGATATGGGAGAGGCCACGAGAATGCGGGAGTGGGGTCTCCCACAGCAAGAACTCCCGCTAGTGAACCGGTCGGCCCAATTGGAGCCGGTCTAGGGTAAACCCAGGTCAAGAGGCCTGGGGGCAACATTTTGACAGGGCGGGATTGCCACCCGACCCTCCTTCCTTTTCTGCTTCCTCTTCATATGGAAGTGTTTTAATGGCTAACTTTTGGATATTTCTTGCCTCCCCACTCCTCCTTTTGTGTGGGAGTTTCCATCTTTATTTCTTTCCATTCATGTAAGAGTCTATAAATTGTTATTTCATTATTGTATGAGGGGAGTTTTGTTGTGTTTTCTTTCAGAAATCCTGTGTGGAGCCTGTATCCCCTTTGTGGGTTGTATCCGAGGAGAAGGTGGTGCTCCGGTTGTATCCTACTCCTAGGTGGAGTTGTATCTCCCCTTGTCGTCTTGCCTAACCCTTCTCCATTCCCCATAGCCGCCAACCTTGTTGTCCGGCCTTCCCAGCCACCATCAGCACTCCACCGATCCTCCTACAGTAGTTTTCCATTGTTATCCCACCATTTCTCCTATAGCAGTTTTACATTGTCGTCCCACCATTCCAGCCCCATCCCCGCACCTGTTCTGAGTTCCCTTCCATCCTCCTTGGATGTCCAGTCGTCCAGGCCCTCCTCCAACCTTCCCATCACTCCCAAACGACTGCTCCTCACCACCACTCCCGCTGCCCTTGCTTCCCAGCATCTTCCAACCACCAATCCGCTTGCCGCCAGTCACCTACAACCTTCCATACTTGTTGTCCCAGCAATTCTACACCTCCCCCTCGTTGTCCAGTATTCCTTTGTTGCCACCACCCTACCAACCATGCCGCTCCACCTAGATGATCTCCACCGCCCTTGAAATACACCTTAGAGGTGTTTGCTTGCTTCTGTAGTGTTTGTGTTGTTATTTATTGTTGTGTTGTGTTGTAACATTATTTCCCTATTACTAAAAGTTTGTTTTCAGTTTTCTCGTTGTTTCATCTACTAGTTTCAGTATCATTTGGTATCGGAACTAGTCCAACCCTAATTTTATCCTAGGGTTTCCTAGCATCCACCTTACCCCTCCGCCAAAATTTTTCATTCCTACCCTAAACCACCTTTTACGATTTCCCCAAACCCTAGCTCCACCATTTTTTTTTTCTTATTCCTTAAACTCTAGCCATGCCACCATTGTAATACAAACCGGAGTCATCACGGGAGGAGATACAGCGAGAAATCCACCGACTTTGAAGGTGGATTACGGACATGAAATATAAAATCCAATGGAAGACTACCCTCGATCGTGATCTGAAAGGTCGAAAAGGGAAACTAGAAGATATGAAAATGAAGCGGAAAATACAACGCCAGTTCCTACCAACTTACTCTCGTAAAAAATTGCAAATTCTAACTTTAGAAGTGGAGGGACCACATCACTAAGCGACCCCCCTTGCTATCATCCAGCGAAACCAACCTACAAGTCTGTCACGGCCAGAAAATGTTGCAAGTGTCGCGGCTTTGGACAAGTTGAAGCAGAATGCACAATGAGGACAGTGATCTGCCTCATCGAGCTGAGTGTCATCGAAAAGTTGGTTCAAGACACCGCAAGCACTGAAAACAATGAGGATATAAACGAGGAGAGTTTGCTTCCAGTTGGGGAGGAAAATGTACACTTAGACCCAACTGAGAACTAGGAAGAGACACCACCAATTCCAGTTAACCCAAGATAGATGTTCCAGCTAAGGTAACAGAGGCGTCTCTGGAAAGTAGTGACCCGGAGGTAATAGGCAGTCTAGCATTGTCTGAGATTATGGTGCCTCGAGCTAATATTTTGCTGACTTTTAGAGGAATATCAAAAAACCAGAACTTGGATGCCTACAAAAGTTGTAAGTTTGAGGAGCGGACATCAGAAACATGGTCAGCACAAATAAGGAAAATGCAGATATTTCAAATTTATAAATCCCCTTCGGACTACCCCTACGGAGAGAGGTTTAGAATGCTCGAAGAAGAATTTCAGCTGATATTTCAGATTTATAGACCCCCTCATTAGTTGCCCCAACAGAGGAAGGTCCAGCATGTTTCGAAGAGCATTAATTATGTGTCATGTTTGGAATATTACAGGAAGTATTTCAGATGTTTGATTCAGCTCAGCAGGTTACCCTTCAGCAGATGCCCAAACAGGAGAAGGTCCTGTCACTGAAGAAGATGTCTCTCCTAAGTGGTCTCTAGTGAGAGCGGCAACGTCTGCCACAAATGTTATCCCAGAATTGAGTTCTCCTCACAAACTTGTTACTCGACCACCACACGCTAGGCATGAGAAGTGGAAGGAGAAGATTTCAAAAAGAATGGCTTGAGAGTTGTATTGTGGGAATTCACCTCCATATGCAACTCCCAATCAGGATGTGTCAAACGAGTACGGATACCTATCCTACCAGAATGTGTTGTGGAATGACAACACCAACATAATTGACCCATCAGAGGACTTGACGTCCTTCCATGAGAACCAGAAGCTTTGACGAATGAGGTTGAAGCTCCCCCAACCCCGTGAAACTGATGCGAGAGCGGATACAAGAGAGCGGTAGCGGCCACTAGAGCGCGGGAATGGGTTTTCCCTCAGTCGGAACCCCTGTTAGTGAACCGAACGACCCAATTAGGACAGGACCAGGGTAAACCCAGGTCGAGCGGCCTGGGAGCTGGATTTTGACGCTGGTGAGACTGCTTCCCGCCCCTCCTCCTCCCTTTTCTACTTCTTCTTCAAATGAGTGTTTTAATGGCTAATTTCTACATAATTCCTGTCTCCCCACCCCTTCATTTTGTGTTTCCTTCCTTTTCTTCTTCATTTAAGAGCTACAAATTGTTGTTTTATGATTGTAGGAGAAGAGTTTTGTTGCGTTTGCTTTCAGAAATCTTGTGTGGAGCTTTTTTCCCCCTTTGTAGGTTGTATCTGAGGAGATGATGGTGCTCCAGTTGTATCCTACTCCGAGGTGGTAATGTATGTCCCCTTGTCGTCTTCCCTAACCCTTCTCCTCCACTCCCCATAGCCATCGACGGCCTTGCTGTCCAACCTCCCCGGACAGCATTTGCACTCCGTCGATCCTCCTCCTACAATAGTTTCCCACTGTTATCCCACCATCCCAGCCCATCCACGCACCTGTACTTTGTTCCCATACAGCCTCTATGGTTGTCAAGACATCCAATCCCTCCCTCCTTCCCAGCACTCTCAATCGACTACTCCTCACCCCCACTCCCGCCGCCCTTTTTGTAGCACCTTTCGGCCACCAATTCGTTTGTCGTTGGTCACATATGACCCTCCATACTTATTGCCCATGCAATCATGCACCTCCCCCTTGTTGTCACCAGCATTCCTTTGTAGCCACCACCTCTACCAACCATCCTGCTCCACCTAGTCGATCTCCACCGCCCTTGAAATACACCTTAGAGTTGTTTGTTTGCGTCATTAGTGTTTGTGTTGTTATTTTCTTGTGTTGTGTTGTAACTATATTTCTCCATTAATAAAAGTTTGTTTCGAGTGTTGCAATTGTTTCTCCTACTAGTTCCGGTAACACTAGTTTTTTTACTCTTTCCAGATAACTAATCTTAATAAATTCATTAATTAGTGAAAAATGTAACAAAAGTTAAGGAAATTATTCAACAAAAGCCACCACTTTGAGATGGTAACTTGAACTCTACATAAAAACCGATTATGAGATATAGCGGTATATGATTAGGAACATCAGTAGAAGCACTAACTAAATCATGGCAGATAGCAATGGTAATTAACATGAAAAAAAGGCATCAAAGCACATGCTTCTACGACACAAACAAAGTGTTGTTATTCAACCAAAAAATAACTAAGTCGTGGTGAAAAAAAAACTTTTTATGCTGTGGGCACATTGACAAGATAAAAGATTATATAACTACAATGGAAAATAAAATAGAATAAAATAAAATGTATGCACAAAATTTTAGCTTTCTTGCAAAAAATCAAAATAATACAGAAAAGATTACACAAAAGGACCAATGACCAGCAAAAACAAAAATTAACTTTCACCAAAAAAAAAATTTAGAGCAAAAAACATAGTTCTAGTCAAAATACAACCCACCTTTGTACCCAAATCAGTCAAAGCTATTGCCATGTTATTCTTTGCAATCTCAAAATTCGGAGAAACAGCCAAACACCTGAAACAGAGATATTGCCAAAAACACTCAAATAATTGGGCAAGGCTTTAACAAGTTCTTAAAAACATGTATGCTTGGTGTATTTTTTACATGTTTTTATCTTACATTTTTAAAAAATATGCTATTGAAAACCTCAAAATAATTTTTAGGTGTTTTGAATTTTCTTTGAAAACAACTGTATTTTAAGGGCGCTTTGGGATCACATTTATTTTTTTATTTTCTATTTTTATTTTTATTTTGTTTTGCTTCAGTTTAGCTATGAAACAGAACATGTTTGATATGTTTTATAAAGATATGTTTGTTTTTGAAAGCACTTAAAACACCTAAAACTTGTTTTTGAGTGTCATAAAAAACATGTTTATTTGGTTTTTGAAATACAAATTAAAAACAAATTAAACAAACATGCTTTTAAAAATAAAGAAAAAATAAAAACAAAAACAATGAACAAAATTGATCCCAATCAAGCCCTAATCAAATAGACAAACATGTTTTTATTTCAAATCAAAACATAAACAAAATAAAATAAAATTAAAAAAAAAATGAAAGTGAATCAATGGCCCCTAAAAAAATAGATGTTGAATAACCATCAGAGTATAGACTACCTTTCATAACAAGCAATAGCAGTTTCTAGGTCTCCGCGATTTTTATAGATGACCCCCATGTTGCAGTAGGCTTCTGCATACATAGGCCTCTGCAACGCAGCCTTCTCATAACAACTAAGGGCCAAATCAAACTGCATCATCTCAGAGTAAACCACTCCAAGGTTATAATATGCAGGCTGCATCAAAAATATTCTCATAAGAACTAAACATAATTTCAGCTGCACCCAAGTTGTGTACGTTATTTACATACATACTACAAATTTCATATTTATTTACATCTCTAACACCGAAACATTCTTATATACATGCATGGCACTAAACTATTTAATATCACATAAAAACATTACTTTTACTTTTAAAATATGAAATACACCTTTTCATGCATAGATTATGACACCAAAGGATTACGAATAAAAATATAAAAGATTAGATATTAGACATGTAAATACATAAGAATTGTGTTGTATGTATAAATATTTCCTTGAAAAAAAAAGGATAGGCTGTGACATTACAGCATATCTACTGTCCGCATTAAGTGCTTCACAATACTTTTGAATACCAGCCTCTGTGTTCCCAGCAAGCTTTAAGCTGGTACCTATATCTGTCAGGACAACAGCAAGGCATTCTGCAGCAGGCCTGTATGAGGGATCCACCTTGAGAGCTTTCTGATATGACTGCACCCATTAATTTGGTAAAATTCATAAATTTGGATAAACATTCTACCATGAAAAAGTTGATAAAATATGATAAAGTTAAGCAGCAAAAAATACTTAGGCCATATAAGCTAAAAGAATGGAAAAAAAAATTCGTGCATTGCTTTAAGAAAAAACTATTATTATAAGCACAAAGCAAAGCACTGGATAGGCTTCAAAAAAGCTAGGAATAATATACGAATTTTTTTATGTAAAGCATCAACCTAAGATGAGTAGACTACGCTTTTAAATTTTATGTAAATCATATACAGGTCAAAATAAATTTTAATTCATAAAAACATAAGTTACTCAAAATATAACAAGCGATCAATTTGGCATAATTATATGGTAAGGAGCTGAAGCACTAAATAAAGATCGCCAAATGAAAGTTCCATGAATCAAATTTCTATTCAGCATGCAATACAAAAATGAAATTAGATTTCATAACTCAAGCAGTTCACATCAAAATTATAATAGCTGGCGTTTAGGATCAGTTTTGATTAACATTTTTTATATTTAGTTTTTATTTTGTTTTTTATAGGTTTTTATCATAAATATAACATATTTGATACGATATAATATGTTTAGTTGATTTTAAAAATACTCAAAATAATTTTTAGATAGATCGAGTGATTTTAAAAACAAATTAAAACAAGGAATACAAACATGCCATAAATGCACTAAACAAATATATTTGTAATTAAAAAAAACAGAAAACAAAAGTCAGCCCAAACAAACCCTCGACAACTACCGACAAGTGACACAGTCATCATCATCATTAGCCCACCCAAAAATATTTATTACTAGCTTTATAAATCTATATTTTCCATTTAGGGTCTGTTTGGGGCAACTGCAGCTTATCTAGCTTATTCAAATAAACAGCTTATTCTGATAAATGGTTGATCAGCAGCTGATCCGGATAAGCTGACAGACTGTTTGGTTTGTGCGTTTGGAAAACAGCTAATTTGCAGTTGTTTCTGGATAATTGACTATTTTGCCCCTGGTCTGGATAAGCAGTCTAGTAATTTAGTTTGTGTGTTTGGAAAATAAATGATTTAGAGTTGTTTCTAGATAAATGACTATTCTGCAATTGTTTCCCTTAATTTCCTTAATACTTTTTTTCCTAGCATTTCCAACCTCTGTTAGAAGCCATCAGAAACCACCAAGCTCGTTTGGGTCATTGTAGTTTCACAGAAAACTGCAATGAACTCAAATCTGTGGAAACATCATCTCCATGCATACAATCAACTCAAAATCAACTTCTTAATATCTTTATAAAAGGTCTCTCCATGACCAACAATTATGCAACAAGCTACAGACTCTTAACCATGACCATACCATCAATTCGAGAAGAAGCACAACGTTATAAGCTACAAAACCACTTTCTCTCCCATGTAATGCATTCATCTCAATTGTTCCCCTATAAAACCCACTCAATCACAACCATATACTCTGAAGCAAACCCTACCTCTAGAGTCCTACATTATGTAATTTACTCCTCCATACAAAGAGTCTTGTATTCAAGTTGAAATACTGAAGAAAAGATGCATAGTATTCACTACTCTCACTTTTATCTTTTAACAGAAATATTGAATCGACTCTAACAGTGTGGCTGCTTTCATTCCCAAATAGGCTTGCTTTCAACTTCTCCTTCCTGCTACCACAATTTTTCTCCTTATCATGCTTCCCTTTCTCCATATACGCTACATTAAAGCAATAAATATTCATTTATTTTTCTCACCCTTGACCTTTCACCCTATTAAATCCACACCCAATAGTTATTTTTTTTAGCAGCGTGAAAACCCGATGCCTTGAGATTCTTCACTATCTTTACAACCAATTGGCTACTATTCGTGAGCTCAATTCTCAATTGTTGGAATATCAAGTAATCATGATATCAATATCTCTGGTTCTAACAATAGTGATAACTTTATGAAGCAGAGCCAACAATTCATGAATTAAAAGTAATGGAAAATGCTTTTTGAGACCAAAAAATAAATATCATGTTAATTTTAGAACAGCCAAACAGAGTATTTCTAAGTCAACAAAATAACTGAAATTCCGATTGAAAAACCCATATCTCAACAGATGAAGTTGAAAAAAATTAAAATCACAATAAATCCTTCAGATCCAACACAAAAATAGGCAAAAAAACGAAGATCGAAGCAGCTTGTCGTCCCCATCCTTGTCAAACAAGTTTAATGCCACCTTGAACTCAGAGATTTGTTCGTCCGTGAGCTGCTTAGTCATGATTGCTTGGAGCTCACACCGAGAGCGGAGAAGAGAGGGAAATCCTTAGAGAGAGAAAGGATCTAGTCGGCAAACAAAATAGCAATATCGAAGAGAAGAGCTTAACTCGAGGCAAGGATGAAGGATAGCCACGGGAGCCCGGCGAATAACAGGAGGATAAAGAGTTGAAGAACTTGCCTACAGTCACCGTCGACGCGATGGTGAAACTCTACGAAACTCTATAAAGAGTCAGCGTGATGCCAAAGAAGCAGGGAGCACCTCTGCGAGCTCGATCGTGAACGAAGGAGAAGGAATGTCGAATCCGGGAGGGGCAAGCACAGAGGGCAGTGGGGTAATTCAGGAGAAAACGTGATAAGGGAACGCCACCCGCGGGGATGATTCCGCAGGCGACGTTATTCGTAAAATAAAAACCGTGATTTCAAGCACGTCATTTAAACGCATTAACCAAACAGCAGGGCGGCATTTTCAAAACGCCACCAGTTGTTTTAAGCTGTCCCCAAACAAGCCCTTAGTCCAACTGATTACTAAATGTTGAGTTATTTCAACATATTCAAGTTCTTTTGCCACAGATTTCAAGCCAAGTTACCCTTATTTACCTATTTTCCTTCTTAAAACCTTCATATTAATTCTAATTAGCTTTTCATACCCACCTAACCGCATGCTTATTTTGTACAATCTTATCTCCAATGGATGCTAAAGTTTAGTTAATAAAAAAAATTAATTTCACTTTAAAGTAGGCTTTGATCATATTTATTTAAATAGATTATAATTTTATTTTAGCTTTTAAGTTAATATCATGGTTTAATTGAGCTTCTTAAAGAGCATGTCATGAGCTTTAAATGATATTTTTCATGGGCATAAATGGATTGAAAAATAATATGTTCAAGTTTATTTATTTAACAATCAAACAGTAGCTTTAAAAAACTCAGTTCATTTAAAGCCCTATATATATAATTTAAGAGGAACTATTCACTAAATCATGGAAAGTTGCTCACCCATAACAATTTTGAATCACTCACCCTAGTGTGTTCATTCAACCATTACATTGAGGTAATACTCACCCAAATAAAAAAAATATCTTGCAACCTCATCCATAAGATCGGTCAAAACTTTACATGTATAAGACTTTTAAATCATCAAATAGAAACCTTTTGGCCAACCAAAGATGGTTAATGGGTGTGGTTAGTAATTGAGAAATATAATTAAAATGAGGTAATTGGCTAGTGATGACTCGAACTCAAGGTATTGGTACTTCATCAAATATCAAGCTTGAGATTGAATTTTTCTAGGAAGGCAGGGATGATGAACATCATGGTGCAAGATAATTTTGTTTCCAAATATAAGTTAAAATGCTTGATCTTCAAGATCAAGCTTATTCATCTTGGCAAGTGGAGGTAATGCAAAGAGAAAACAGTAGACTTACAAAAGATATCAACACAACATATGATACAAAAGAGTCATATAAATGACATCAACTTAAGTTGGAAAAGATACTCCTTGCATTCATATTCAATGATCATAAAGCTCTGTGGAGACTGGACAAATGAGATAACAGTTTTTGTGGGAGATAACAGTTTTTGTGGTTTTCACACCAAAAACAAACTACTGCAACAAAATATGTGTTACAAAAGACTATGCATCTTTGAAACAAACAATACCATGAATAAAGCTTCCTTGTTGAAAGTTGAACAAATGAATATTTAATCTAAAGGAAATCCAAAGTGACCAAAACAATGTTATACCAATCAAAAACATAATTAGGTTACTCGAATTAGTTAAAACAAAATATAATATCACACGCATAAACAGTATTGAGACTGGAAAAAGTAATCCTAAGAGCTTGTATGAATAATGAATAGTCTTCAACAACTGCAGGATAACTTGATGAGTTTTTCTTCACATTTTTTCAACTATCGATTAGATTAACAGATCATATTGGCAAAAGAAAAAAACGCATCAAGCAGATGGTGGATAAAATCAATTACAAAGCAGTACTTCAGCAATTCTGACAACAAGAGTAACCATACCTCAGCGGCTTCAAGAAGGCGGCCTTCATCCTTGTACAGAACTCCACAATGAGTGAGAGCACATGCATTTTGTGGATCCAACTTAATGGCTTCCATAAAGCTCTCAAAAGCTTGCCGATTCAGATTCTGTGCCTGCAGGCAAATCCCTTTCCCAACTAGGGCTTCAAGGTTGTCACTTTCCTTTTCAAGAACAATGTTATATAATATAAGAGCATCTCCAAATTTGTTTCGAGAGCGAACAATATTGGCATAAGAAAGAGCATCCTTCCCTTCAAATTTATTCCCTAGAGGATTATATTGCGTTGGAGAAGCAACTGCATCAGATAAAGACCTCATTCCTTTAATGCAGTCAGTCTCAGATACCAGACCATCTCTCAAGCTCCCGTTACCTACATCCATTTCTGGCCGTGCCATTTTTATAAAAAAAATCAGAACTTCAAGCACTGATGAAGGCATAAGTGAAGAGAAGAAAATCTTCAATAATTTTAGCATTGAGATAATACCAAACTCAGGTCAAAAATAAGCAGTGCCGAGCAAAGAGTGAAGGAATTCAGCCATGATTCTGAGTGGCCAAGCCCTAATCTGCAGTTTCAAGGCACAGTCAGATAAATGTATCATAAAAGGAAAGTAAAAATAATCTAGGCTAGAAAGAAAAGGGAAAAAAATCAGATTACAGAACAACAGAAACTTAACAATGACTAAGGTTTCCAGATAACTATCACCGCTAGATGAAAATGTTAAAAGCAGGAAATAGCACAGTAAATAAGAATCGAAAGCCGCAATCTTTGCTAAAACAGCCAAAACTCCGAAGGCCCCAAATAAAACGCGCAAACAACGATCAAAATTTAACTCAGCCCGAATGGCAGAAACTCCCAAAAACGGGAGACCACAAACGTCCAGAACATAAAATCCTACAGATTTCAACAAAGCTTCTGAAAATGACACAAAAGGACCACTATTTGCGACCAAAGAGCACATGACGCATGCCAATAAAACCGAGGTTGAACGCCCACAAAAGATCACGAATGCCAACGCTCTGGGTACGTACAGACGAATAAGAGAAGAATAAAGAAGAAATAAGCATCATACCTTACTGACGACGCCACATCCGAACGAAGGGATGGAATCGACGGCGAGCAGAAATCGTGTCGTGTGAGAAAAAGAAGAATTGGGTGCAGGAATTAGAGAGGTTCCACGGTGTTGGCTGGGGGGTGGGGGGAGAGGGCAACCTAGGGCTCACAATCTGTGCGAATGAGAAGAAGAGGGTAGGCTTCGAAGCCGGAGGAGAGGATGCTGACTCGAGTGCGAAGCTCGTCTCGTGCGCGGAAGGGAACAGGCCGCGCGTACGTCCGATGCACGAAGGAAGAGGGGAGAGGAAGCCCTAGCTTGCGGGCGAGCAGTGGGAGCATTGATTGCAGGAGGATCGCTCGCATTCAGAAGGAACAGGGTAAGAACCGACGGAGATTGCTCCAGCGGGAAGAGGAAGATCCAACGCTGAATCCCATGCGGGAAGAGGTGGCTTCGAGCACCGAGTGGCTTCGCAAGCGAAGAATATTTCTTTCAAATGGATTTATGGGTTAGATTGCAAATTGCAACAAGAGGGAAATAGAATAAGAGCAAAATGGAACTTAAAGCTGAGTAATAATATTTTTTAAGTTATGATATTATTTCTTACTTGTAATTTTGATTTATTATTTTATTTTATATTAATGTAATTAGATTGCATATTATTCTTCATATCTTTAGTCATGAAGTCTGCATTTTAAATTATGTTGTCCTCATAGTTGTATGATAGTTTAATTTATGAATTTATTCGGTCATTATATGATCATAGTACTCTAATGGAAATATATGTATGTTAGTTTATTACATGACTAAATGTTATTGTCAAATTATACTTAATCTTTTAAATTACAGTGAATGTGTATCTATTTGATTATCGTGTGACCTTAGATTCCAACAGAGTTGCATTAATTTTAGTAGATAACTATGTTTCAAATGAAAAGGTAATGTATGCCTTGAAGAATGAAATAAATATATTGTATACATTGATGTTTGTATGTGCATGAAAAATGGGAAGCTTACCCCTTATGGTATTGTTAGGGGACGTCGGATTATCTTATCACTCCAAATAAATGTGATGTTTAAATCGCTAATTGTTATACAGATGAGAGACTATCAATCAAAAATAAGCATGCACATTTTCACTTTAGACAATCATATAAATTTGATCATTAACCGTTATACCGACTGAATAATATCGAACTGGGGTGTATAGATTTTGTTTTGATGGTGCTCCTGAAATAAATATGAAAGTTAATTGCATGAAGTAAAAATAAAGTTAAAGATTAAACCTTCAATAGTATGGTTAAAGTTACTGCATATAAAAAATATATGTTTATTATATTAAGTAAATTGCATTGACACATACATTACCTTATTATAAGATTATTATAAAAATATAAAAGACCATCATGCACGTCATTTGTTTTCTTAGGTTACTGCAATTTAGAAGTGTGATTGCTCATAAGTTATTTTTAGATAACCCGTTATGATATTTTAATATCATTTTCAGTTTTAAACTCTTAAATAAAATGAATGCTATAGAAAATAACATGTACAAATGGTGATGCCAGTAACCACAAAGGCAACAGAAGGAATCGTAGTGTTGTAGCATAAGTCGCATGAATGTCTTCTAGGTAGCTCCCCCGTCGGTCTCCTATGGTTGAGCGAGCTCTGACCTCATCAATTGAAGCTTTTGGGTGTGTTTCGGGCAGCTTTTGTGTTTCAGGATAAGCAGTTTATCCTGAAACGTGGCCCGCGGGTCGACCGTCGGGGTCGAACATCAGCCTAGGTTTGGTGTAAAAATGGAACTGAGTTTTCGGATAAACAATCAAAACGCACGAACCAAACGACACAGCGACGTTTTCAAAAACACCCATGCAGTTACAAGCTGCCCCAAACAGACCCTTTGCCTCCTCATAGTGTTCAAGTCAGCCATGTTGAAAGTAATGAAAATATTGCAAGCTTTTGGTAAGCACATCATGTATATGTTCTTAATCCAAAGCACATCCTGATATAATAAACATCCATTCACTTTTGGCATAACCCGAGCCGAAGCTACATAATAATGTTGATTCTCACGAGACCAATTCCAAGCAAGTAGATCTATAATTTGCTTCCCTTACTCCTCATACTCGGCTCAATGTACATGATAAACAAGTATGTCATAAGGAAAAAACTTTAGAATGACACCGATGGCAGGCTAGGTTCATACACTGAAAATATATGCTTTTTTTAGACTCATATTTTATACTCATTTTTTGTAATATTGCACTTTAATGGAAGGTATTTTGATGTTTTCTTATAGATTGTTGATTTTTAGGGCTTAAAGCAAAAAGGAAGCAAAAAAATGAAATTTGGAGTCAAAATGATGTTTTTGATGAAATGCGCAGCGCCGGCAGCGCCCAGGTCCGCGCCGACGGCGCAGAATAATTTAACGCTGGAGATTTTGACTCCAGACTAGCACCGACGGCGCCAGACCAGCGCCGACGACGCCAAAGGCGGTTTAGACTCCGTTTCTAGAATGTTCAATGTATTTAAACGATTTTTTGAAGAGTTTTTTGAGACACCTATTGGAGAACCGACATTGGGCTCTATTAGGGGTCGAATTTTATCAGAAAATTGGCTCCTCTACATTTTTCACTCCTCTACATTCATTTTTCGCTCCACATCATTTCATTTCACTACTATATTGGAGTGAATTAGTGATATTGCTTTCATAGTTTAGACTTTTTGTGATGAGATTTAGTGTGAAACTGTCTGCAAGAGTGTTGGAGAAGGAAAAAAGTGAGGAAAAAAGTGAGAGAGTTTCCTGCATTTATAAGAAAATGCTACAAAGGATTTGCTTTGATAAAGAGTTCCAAATATGTTTGTTTGTTTATTTAGTGTTGTATGAACTTTCTTTTATATATGAAATTTGTGTTTTATCGTATCTTTCTCATGAAGTCTGAGTAGTCCCCTCTATCTTTCCCCCTACTCTGAGATATGGCGAAATGAAAAGATAAAATGAATGTGTCATAATTAAACTATAAAATAAATTGTGATACTTTTTCAACTTCAAACTTAATTTACTTTTCAGTCTGGTCAATTGATTTGTTAAAATATGTTGTGAAACATATGATCCGGGAAATGGAGTATGAGTTCTACAACAGAGTGATGATCACATTTGATCTCACGAAGGAGAGATTCGTTCATTAAATTAAGTGCAAATAAATAGGGAAATATTCTTTTTTTGTTGTAAAATTGAAGAATCTTTATGGTGACGGACTAAAATCCCCAATTTGGTCTCAGTGTTTAAAAACTAAAGCGAGAGTTAGACTTCAGGTGAAGGGAAGTGGGAACTCTTGAGTTGGAGCCGGTATCCTCCTAGCCTGGCCACGAATTTATGAACTAAACCTAAAATTAGCCATTGATTTTCTATGCACTCTATCAGGGTAAAGAATTAAAATTTCTCCTATTTGGCACAATACATATTAAAAACATTTATCTTGGCTCATTTCACCAAAATTTCATTGCAGTGAGAATGATGTTTTTTCACATAAGAAATATTCATTACATAAACATAGTTAGTAGATTAGTAATTATTATTCAAAATTTGCATTTTTGTTTTGCTAATAATTAAGTAATTTAGTTTGGTTAATATCTCAACATTTGAAATTAGTGACAGTGATTTCGTTTGATTTTCTATAAATTTCCTCTTAAAATTTATCATTGCTAACTTATATCTTTCCCGTGGGATCGATATTTGGGGCTTAAATAGAAAGTTCATTATTACTTGATAACGATATGTATACTTGCTTAGAATCTCATTATTAATTGCCTATAATTATATATATTTTACACAACTTACTTTTCATATAATGATCAAGTTTTTTTGCGCTGTAGTGGCGTCAACTTCATAAATCCTTACATATAAAAATTTGGGAACATAGGTCACTTTGAATTGTAATTTGTGAACAATCGTATGATGCCTCTTCTTCTTCTTATTATATGAATGAACCAAAATTACACTACACTATCATTTTTTTCTCAAAAATCCTAGGGTGATTTATGACAATATGACTCATATATCATGTATGATCATCTCTCGATGAGTACACATTTGAACTGATTTTAATACCCAAAAGACTTCATGTAGCCTTCTAGAAGTGACACAACAGAGTCTCACTTATGACACGTTGAATCTCCCTCAATATGGGCAACTTAAGAAGTAACATATATCTAAAAGTTTGAATTTCTCTTGTACGGGGTGGCCCTCTCTCTTGTGTTGGTTCTTCAAACTCAATATCATTTTGCACCTTTCCATCATCAGTTTGAAACTAATACATTTTCTTCGTGTCCTTGCCATCATCAGTATCTACTATGTCACTACTCATTTATTCAACAACTCCCTGCTCAATAAAATTGTACTTTATTTTAGCAATCTATATGGTACAATTTATAAAATCTCATGTGATTATTGAGAAATATGTTTATATAATAAATACTTTGTTATTACAATTCAAATTGATGGTGATATGATATCCAACATAAAATAGTGAATTAATGGGCTTTTCATTAAAAAGCTTAAATAGTGTGAACTCCCTAAATATTGAGATTTATAAAAGGAGAACATGGTATAATGTGATTATCAAGGACCTAATTGTGATGACTCCCATGCATTATGTTAATTAAATATTTTGTCAATATGATATATGATGGACTTATTATGATTGATACAAAGAAAATACCACATGTTTGCCAAACTCACATAATATACGTGTGATGATTAAAATTTCTTAAAATGCTGCATGCGATGACGTAAACAATATAAAACATTATTATTATGATATGATAAGTTATTTATTTGAGATTATTTATATTTTATATGGTGTGTCTGGCCATGCTAAGCATCATAAAAGTTTATTTGTTCAATATATGTGAAATGCTCACGATGCAATAATACTTGTTCTTTTTTCATGCATTGAATTTAATTATATGTTTCGTGCAACCTCTCATAATGTCTACGCACTCTTATTGACTTTTAATGTTTTCAAAGAAGGTTAAGGCATCAATGGAGTAAAAATATAGTCATTGATGATTGAGGCGTATTTTATAATATTGGATATATTTATTTGTTATTATTGGAAATATATTTTGTTAGAATCCTTGGAGTCACAATGTCATTGTACATAAATACTTTGGATAGGAACACTTTTGAATTATATTTGTGTATATATACATGTGATGAATCTTAGGTCCTCTTATATAATCATGAATGATTTAGTAGCTATACCTAATATGATTAAGAAGATATAAGTTTTATCTTATATTTTTTTATTATATATTTTGTTTAGCTTAAATATTTAAAAAAGAGATTTTTTAAATGTAAATACATATTAAGAGTAGGCAACTTTTTTTTTTCTTCTAAGAAAGGGGCATTTAAATAAATAACCTATGATTCTTATGTATTTACATATGAAACATATAGACTCTAACTTCTATATTTATATAATTCATTATATCTCAAAAAAAAGACAATATAGTCTCTACAAATAGGCTTGTCAAAATGGCTCTTTGGTCACGATCAACTCGTGTCCGTCTCGTTAAGTAGCTCGTGTTCGATTCGTTCGTTAAGCAAATAAGTCGAACATGAATAATTTTTTTTGCAATCGATATATAAACGAACCGAACACGAACAATTATATTTTTCAACAAGTCGAGTCTGGGCTCATTCAAGTTCGGCTCATTTACACCCCTAACGGTTGCATTAATGACTATAATTATCAATATGATTTTTTGTTCGCAAACAGCTCATGTTCAGCTCACTAAGAAAAAAAAGTGGAAAACTAATAAAGTTTGTGTATTCAAAATATAAACTAGTCGAACACGAACAATTGTATTTTTTAACTAGTCGAACACGAGTTGAGCCCAGACTGTTGGGAAAATTGACGACAATAAAGCGAAAAACTGGATCTAGAAAAATCACAAAATCAAAACACACAACGAAAACACACAGATTTACGTGGTTCGACAAACTGCCTGCGTCCACGGAGCTACAGAGGATTTTATTAACTTGAGGATTACACACCGTCGATCACCTCGACGATTACAAGAAATAATCTTTCTCTCTCTCCTCACCTTCTCTCTCTCTCTCTAACCGAGAGCTAGAGGAAGAATAAGTCAAGAAAACCAAGCTTGGGTTTTTCTTTGTACCGTAAGCACACACGAGAGCATGCCTACGCCAACCGGAATGCCTCCAAGGGAGAGCCAAGCATGCAGTTCTAATAGCGGGAGGAGAGGAGCAAATCAAGGCCCATTAAGGAAAACCAAGAGAACAGATCTTCACGCCATTAATTAATTCCTTCCTTCACACCACTTAAGGATGTGATTAATTACTTAATTACTTAATTTATTGATTCCACATTAAGCATGAAATCATGCCTTAATGGCCCATTAAGGCACTGCTTATTTCTGTAAGTATTAGGAAGAGGCGGGATTCCAATCTAGAAGCACCAGACGAGCTCAACAAAGGCAATTGATTAATTAAAGATTAATCAACAGCCTTAATTAATAGTGACCCGGGCTCCATTAATCCAACAATTTTTACACCCCTATCTACAAATCTGTTAATTATCATAAACATCAAGAGAAAATAATACATTCAAACAACAAACACACGAATTACGGTTTAAATTGCATTGTACGATCTCATTCAGTATTTATCGCTCTTAATATTGTCTAATTATTGCGTGCGAAGAGTGCAAGCAGAGCTGCGTGCGCTCTCAAATCACAGCCGCACATCGCTATTGTATGACAGTGGGACTGCTGTCATACAGCAGCGATGCACGGTGTCCCACTATCATACAACAGTGATGCACGTCTGTGATCGGAGAGCACACTCTGCATGCGTTCGCACGTAATAATCGCTCCTTATTATTTTCCAAAAAAGGGCCCTTAACAAAAAGAATACATGGGGCCCACTCGCAAAGACAGGGATTTTACCCCGAGGACCGGGGAGGGGGAAAGTAGACGCTGTTTTCGCAGGACTGGAAAATGCGTCCAAGTTCACATTGGGTTGGAAAATGCGTCCAAGTTCACATTTGAGTTTTATTTCATGGAAATTTACACGCATATCACCCCCATTTTTTATGTATTTTCATATCCAAACACTTTAATTTTAATTTTTATATCTTTACACCACCTAAATAATTCATATCACATAAAAGATATAAAGGCATTAAATTTTAAGAAGTGAAGGTAAAACATGTCATATAAATAAATATATATTGATTAATTTATAAAATAAAAAATAGAAAAATAAAATTAAAATAATTTCTCATATTTTGATTTAGATTTCTACTAATGTATTATGAATAAAAATATTAAGCATTGAATTTAAAAAATATTACTATTATAATATGAAATATATAAAACATTTGACATATATACGCTTCAATTCCCATGCATTTCTATGTCTAACTTCAACATTTAATTTTTTTTACATATATGATATTTTATATACGCATGAAAATGTGCATGGTATTTTTTAAAAATTAAATAAATATATATTTTTTATAAGATATGCAAGATCTTGGGGGTGTAAATGCAAAAAGGTAAAGTTTAGGTGTTAGATAAGTAAATGCATAGGAATTGGGTGGTATGTAAGTAAATTACGTAAATACCCCTAAATAAAGAAATAAACATAAATTAACCGAATTTCAATGAGAAATAGAAGAAACTTGATTCTTAGGAAATTCCATGGAATTCTAGTCATAAACGAGTACAGAGTCTCAATCAAAAATATAAAGATTGGATGGAGGCTATGATCTCGATTTCACACTACAAAACAGATGCATTCAGGCGGACTCAAACTCGTGACCACAGAGGGCTCACCAGTGACAACGCCGATGCCAACCAAAGAGTCATGGCGAGCAGCACACGCACACATACACATGCATATATACTTGAGTGCTTGAAAATTTAGATCAAAATTAGGGCTGTGCTTTAGCTCAAAGATTGTTAATTGCTCCAAAATTGAGAACTTTGGCTCAAATCGAAATAAATGAACCGAGCTAGTTATGAGTCGAAAGTTTGGATCAAATTCTTTTAAAGCCGATTTCGAGTCATATATGAGTCAGCTCACACTGACTGGAAATAGGCTCGTAGTAATTTTATTTTAACAAATTGTACATATCATGTTCAGTAAAATTGAACATACTGAGTCACGAGTCAATTTCGACCTTATTTCAAGCTGGAATGGATCCAAAATAACTCAATGCGGGCCACGTAGCTTCAATTTTGAATAGGATTGAGCCGTTTCTAAGCTAAAACGAATCCAAATAACTCACTTTGAGCTAGCTCATTTCGTTTCCAAGTCAGATCCAGCATGATTTAATTTCGAACATTAACGATGCTAGTCATAATATCTATTTTTTTCATCACAAATAATATTAAAATTTATTCATTTATTATGAGATAAATATAGAATAAATTACTCACATATTATACTCATTTTAAAACTAAATCAGAAAACATTTTAGTCGTGTTCATATGGATAAAAAACTAACATTTCTATCAAAATATTCTCTTGCAATTTTGTTTCTCTACATTACAGCAAGCAATCCTACACTAATGCACGATCACCATCACCCTACTCTCGGCTTCTTCCCAGATCCAGAACTCGCTCCACCTTCGGACAATCTAACCTCGCTCGTACTCGCCTCCTCGCCGGCCGCTGCCGGCCGGCGGTCGAACGATCTCAGGCTCCCTGATCCAGTATACAGTCTGCACAAACTAAATTCAGCTCGAAGCTGAAAAATCCAACATTAATCATTCATAATAATAATGTCAGTGAAGAACAAGAGAAAATATTACATGCATGTGCAGTACCATCACACTATAATCAATCCACACCTACGATGTCCTGACGCAATACTCCATCAAATAACAAAGCAACTGGTCGCAGGATAAATATACCTTTGGAGTCTCGCCCGGGACGACGGTGGAGGTGGTGGTGGTGGGGCGGTCGTCGAACAATAGATATTGGTTCATTTTCCACTTGGTCTTTTGGCTTCTTAGCGGGCGACCGTTGTAGAAGGCCATGGTCTTCTTCATCCCAAGCCGACGCTGAGTGGAGGAATAGATTGCAACCGACGAGCCAGTGGTTTTCCAGTAGCCGGAAGCGGTGATCCGCCTGGGCCGGCCGCCAGCGCTTTCTCTTTCTTGCTGGGGGCAGAAGAAGAACCATTGCTCCTTATCTTGAAGGCATGGCTCCCCCGACAACTCTAGTTATCATCAACAAATATATCATTGTGTGAGAATTCAATTATTCTTGCATTATATTATCTAAATATTTTAACGCTCATTATAATTAAGGGATAATTACATATAGAGATCATGGAGCTAGTGGGATAATTGATATTTATAATTAATCTTCAAGATGATTTCTTTTAGGGCTATTGAATCGATATATTTATACGTGAAAATGTATGAAAGAGAGTGCCTGATTTAAAAATATCCTAAAATTAATTATTTCTCTCTATTATTTTATAACAAGTTTAAAATCTATTCGGCAAGTGCAACAATTTGAAGAAACAACTGTGAAGTTACTGCAGAAAAAAAATTCTTTTTCAAAAAATTACCGCTGCTATTAAATATAATTTTTAACTATAATTTTTTAAGAAAAAATAGGAAAATAATACTTTTATCAAACACGAGAAAGTGTAGTGCAGCACCGTCATCTCAAACTCAGGCTTAGTTACAGATTTGCATTGATCGAATACCACATGAGTTACAATGAAGGTCTCATATAAGAAAAGGATTTGTTAGTGCAAAATGAGGAGAGGGAGAGAATACAGCTAAATTACCGGGGAGCTGCCATGGCTCGAGGGAGAACACGTTAAGCACAGGAATAACGCGTTCCATATCACCGCGCAAGTTATTGAGCTTGTTGCGGAGATAGAAGGAGAGAAGCTCTTCTTCCGTAGGGTAGAAACGGAAGCCTGGAAGGCTGTTCATGCTGATTAATGCTTCTCTGTTAGGAGCTCATGTGTTCTCTCTGGTTAGGGTTTTGGAGAGAGGGGAAGAGAAGGGAAGGGGGTGGAGCCTATATAATGGCGGAGAGGGAGAAGACGCGTGTCTGAAGGTGAAGAATCTGCAGTGAAGTTACAGTCTGCGGTGGGCCCCTCGTAGAAAACTTCTTGCATGGAGTGGAATTAGTCAATTGATTACTACCTACAGATATTATATCCAGATATAGTTACGATTGGTGGTATTCATGATCATGGCTATCGAAAAAGTTAATTGCTCATGAACAACTCGTGTTTGATTAGTTTGTTAAGTAAATGAGTCGAACACGAATAATTTTTTTAAGCTCGGATTATAAACAAGCCGAACGCGAGCAATACTTTGTTTGCACGTGTTCAGCTCGATTTTAGTTTGAAATAAAAAATAATATAAATATTTATATAATAATATATTATTTATATTTAGAGTTAAGTTAAAATCATAACAGCTCGTGTGGCAATGTGATTGAGTGTATTTCTTTTGTGTAGATTTGGTTTAGGTTCAAATCAACACTCTATAGACCCGTTTGGGGCGGCGGTACGGTGACGGCTTGAAAACACACCAACCACAGTTTTGCCCGCTTGGTAAACTGTGTTGTGGCAGCTTTTTTGACAAGCTGTGTTTTCAAACTGTTGAAATAAGCGTTTTCACACCGTTCCTGGCTATATGGGGGTGGCAGATTTCTAATTACGGTCCGACTTTCTCAAAAAAAAAAAAAAAATTAATAACCACTGTGGCTTCTTGAACAACAAATTATATTTCAACAGCTTCATAGGTAGCTACCCCAAACATATCCTACATATATTTTTTTCAATTAATTTTAATGAATCAATTTCGAGTCAAACACGAGGCAAAACACAAATCTAAACATTTAAATCGAGCTGAACACGAACACACTATTCACCAGCTGATTTCGAACACTTTTCGAACTCAAGCGATTTTGAACAAGCTGAACATGAGTCAAGCCCTAGTTCGCTCAAGTTCAGCTCTTTTACAACCTTATTCATGTTAGTATTGGTGGTATTATTACTCCACAATACCATTAATATTATCATGAATACCACTAATACCACAAAAAAAAGTCATCATCGGCACTTAATCCGAACGCAACCCATCATCCATATATAATAATTTATCTAGTTATTAAGGATTTAAGTGAGTAAGCTTGAAGAACTTGATGTTTTACTCATTAATGATTATGAATATTATTATTTAAAGCTAGCTAATAAATTGGTTAATTATAAGAAGTTGGCTTAATGCTCGCTAACTTGAATATAATCTTTTATTATCCTTAAAATGCTTAGTTACTACTCATTAACATGCCCAACAAGGCATGCTCGATTAACTTATGATTTGGTCAATAGTCTTTCTATTTAATGTGATCGTCGATCCAATGGTGGTCATTTATTGTTAGAAATAAATTGTATAATGATTTGGTCAATAGATTATAAACAAGTTTAACAAATAAATTTATTTAATGTTTGAACAAGGCCCCTGTAAGAGACCAGGGGAAACAATAAATAATTAGTCAACTTACATGGACACGATGAGATGTATCTTCGATCCATTGGTGGTCCACTTAACACTGATGTGTGTGGGCGTGTAAGTTAGTAGCAGTGGGCTCTTATTCAAACATTGGTCTCTACTAATGAAAAGTTAGAAATAAATTGTAGAATTCATTTTCATGTATTAAATATATCTTATTATCTTCCTCTTGTACTCAGTATAGGGGACTGAGCCTTTGGTGTGTAAGGAGGTACCAATGCCCCCACAATCAGAGACCCCATTATATAGTACAATCTTCCTCTTCATTAGATACTCAATAGTGGCTCAAGATCCGGACAATTCAGTCCAAACATTCTCACATATCCAAATAGGCCCCTGCTCTTTGCAGATAATGGTGAACATATTTCGTTATGTGGTTCTATCCCGGGGTCTTGAAGTTTCTTTGAATCTGCTGTTGATGTTCGACATCACCGCATAAGTCCTCATATAAAACACACATAAAATAAATTTTGCTAATATAAAAAATAAATTTTAAGATTATAATTATAATTCAAAATTAATTATCTTTACCTCAAACTTTCTGAATCACATTTCCTAAATATCGATTGATATCTTTTGCCATGATATATATGGGGCATCATGCCTACTCTTGGCGATCTCTATGATCCCATGGATAAGCTTTTTGGATGAAACAAAAAGTGTTATATATTATAATAAATAGAAAATACTAATTACTATACTTTAAATTACTTACGAATCTTCATCTTAAATAATTTATAGACGTCATGTGGCGTCCATCATTCCAGGACAAATAAGAACGAGAGTAGTGTGCCATTAAGGAAGGTAGAGATGGCAGTGTGTTGGGAGCTATAGGGGCGCGAAAGGGATGTATAATCAAATGTGGAGTGGCGGGTCTAATGAGCATCGATGTGGCGGTTGTAGTCCCGACCATCACAATCTTGCTTTTCTATATGATGGGATGCAATATTGTCTAATTCTTCATCCAAAAGGTAAATGCAAATAGAAGTAGAAGCAGAAAACAAATAGGATAAATGCAAGAGATATTAGATTGGACTGTACAAATAAAAAAACCTAAAATCACAATTAGTAAAAGTATAAAGAGAATAAAAAGTAAAATTATGTATCCATCTTATTATATTTCATTAAATCATTATTAGATTTAATTACAATGTGATTAGCTCCTTAATATGAGCTAGTAACATCCTTTAAGGTAATATATTGCTCGATAGAATTAAGAGGAATATAAGAAATTGATATTTCTTGCTCTTGATGAGCAGGTTTGACAATAATATGAACCTTAGTAGTCTTTCTAAGTTTAGTCTTAATGACCACTGCCCAATTAAGTTTATCTCTTACACTACCGGGGTATTTAAGAACAAACAAACCACAGTTGAACATAAAAAAAAAAAAAAAATTACAATCAATAATGCTTGAATGTTCCAAATCCAATATTTTTTTAATAATTATATCAATCACACTGTCAAAATGAGTATTTTCTTTAACATAAACATCATAATTGTGATTTTTTTTTTTTTTAATTAGAAACTCATGTGAAATCATAGTCATTTGCATCAAATACTGATCATATGATCATACCATGATCAAGACCCCATGCAAGATTTATTAATTACTCCAATTAAGAACTTCTTATTAAAATTAAGAGAGATGTACAATTTGATTTGTTTTTGTTCTTTTTTTTTTCTCTTTATTTTTTAGAAGTAGTTGTTAGTTCGTCTGTCATTATATGGTTCACTTTTCCTAATTAATATTTCTTCTAGATCATCTGGATGATTCGGAGAATGGAGGAATCACAATAAAGTTGGAAGAGATCTAAATAGAGAGATTTACCTTCCTCAATTATTTGGATTCATTGCCATGGCAAAAAATTCGTTGGGTGTTGCCAAGGTATCTTTAGGAGCCTTGACATTGTCATCAAACCCGAAAGATTATCGGGCATCTTTAAGTGCCTAAAAAAAACGGAGAATATAGAAAAATGCAGGTTTAAGAGGATTTGAGTTAGATTTAATTCAGCTTTTCGGTTTATTACCGGTTGAAAATTTAACCGCTAAACAATTCTGTCAGTGTCGTCATACTATGTGGATTATTCTTATGTTATGCAAAAATGAGGCATCATCATAAATCATAAAGTCATAATAGAGCTACAAGTGTTAATATGATTGTCATCCAATAGAGAAGAACTTTGTAGAAGGCTAACATTGTGTGGCTTCAAATCAATTAAGAGAGATCGAAGATGGAAGTATAAAATATCAAACCAATTACATTTGTGTTGTTCAACATTCTAAATATAATCTAAATATAATCAGAGATAATGTATATTAATCTTCTCTATATATGTAAATGAAAATCTACATTACAATGACCATGAAAAATTTAACGTCATTCAAGTTTGTTGACGCAGCTGCAAAATAAAGAAGGGGAAGAGTAGAGAATAGAAAGTGAATGAATATGCGTCTCTAATCAATATCAAGTCAAAAGTAACCTCCCATAGTCACAGTAATAGCTATATATGTGCCTCCACTACATCACAATATCAAAATTATTAGACATAATACTGGTTGTTTATAAGAGGATATAACTGCATGGCCTTTTATGAAAAATGTTATGTCCGTTGTTCAAACGTGCAGATGATGGCGTGGATCGCACCACACCGTGCGTCTGACAGTATGATGCAATCAATGTCGTTGATCCCACATGCGGTTTACCCAACATAATATTTTCTCCCAAAAATAAGCTCAAGACGCATTGAATTGTCATCACAAATTTGAACATCCCAACAATATATGGATATGAAAATCTTTTGTAAACATTTTTTCTCTCTCTTTTTCTATTCTTAATGATAAAATTCTTATAACTTTTGTGAATAAGTTTATATCCAACAAATTCAGATCTTTTATTTTTATAAAATATGAAAAATATAAGTGCTGTAATTCTTTGAAAAACTATATTATAAAAATTATTATTTTTATTTATACCATTCAAATATTTCATATCATATATAAAAATATCAAAATTTTAAATCAGAAAAAAATGTATTAAATAGACATTTTCTTATATATGTAAGTTATCGTATATATAAATGTATACAAAAAAATACGTGAGAACGACTCTTGAGGCAATCTGACGGCCAAGCATGATAATAACGAACGGAACGATCCGTCGACCAACTATGAACCTCCAGGTAACAACGAAGTAATCCGTACAATCGAAGGTAGGACCGATCGACCTAAGGTGAGATGATCGGCTTAAGACCTGCTGATCAGGCTAAGACAAGACAATCCACCCAAGACACACCGATCAGTAACAATCTACCAGCCAATATATTTGACACGTGTGTAATATACTAAAATAGCCCTCACAGAACTAATAATTAGACGACGTAAATGTAATATTAAATCTCCAACCCCATGCCTATAAATAAGAGATCATTTTTTTCGCATGCCTTTTTCTATTCACTATTGTCTCCACTGTGTATTACTCGTTTATCTTTAACGCTCTATTTCTTCGGTGTGCCTCCAAGGTAATTTTAAAGTTATATATGTTAGATATGTAATGTAAATATGTAGAAAATGTGTGATATTTATGTAAATCTTCCTAAAATAAAATATTTATTTAAAGCATATATTACATCATTCATTACTTCATGAGTACCTGCTCCACCCCACGACTCTAGCGAGTCTGCGCCTCCACACGCTCTCCCTTCCTTGGTCTGAAGCT